ATCTGGTGGGAACACCGGATCAGCAATTCTGAAGTACGTCGAATGGTATTCGGGAGAAATAACTCACCCTTGATAGATGAACTGATCACACTGCATAGGTTGCGCTGGCTTGCCATGTGTTGCGTATGCCAGTCGACCGACTTCCTCGATGGGCTCTTTTCGCACAACCACCTGAAGGGTGGAAGAGAGCCGGAGGCGTTCAAACAATGACTTGGCAGCGAAGTATGAAAGCCATTTCCAGCAAACTCAGCTGCGCTGGATGAGGACCCCCAGACGGGCCACATCAATGGCTAGAGACATTGTCAGACATGGCCCAGTCGCGCCCTCAATGGCGCTCGTGCATCCAAGCTATTGCCTTCAATGCTTAGCTTCTTTTCCATCCCTCCACTTGACAGCCCACTGACAATGCTGGATTTATGCACCAATTAATCAGCTCCTGCCTGCAATGTGCAGCTACCTACCTTCTCCCCAAAATCATCGGTGAACGAAACTGCGGCAGCTACAACCACTGTACGACGAGCACGTGGTTATTACAACTGACAGTGATGATGATGAAAGGTCATCCCTGGAAATGTTGTGTGGGGGCGAGATGGCTTAGTGATTAGAAGGCGGATTTACTGACCAGAAAGTTCATGGTTCGAACCCGACATGTACCTCCCGAGTTTCCCCCTCCAGGTTTGTTGAACTGAAAGTATCACTGCCATCGTGCTTTTTTCGAGTGGCATGGCAGCTAGCCACCGGTTGTTACAGCTGTACGATTTTTTTATTGTATGGAGCAGAATGCAAATACGCGTCACTAGCCACTAATTAAGTGTTCTATTGGAAGCAACAGTAAACATAAAAGATGACAATAAGTTCGCCATGGATTTTGTGCAGAATTTTGTGCCACACAACCTGCAGGTCTTGCCAAAGCCAGCGTATTGGGCTGGTGAACAAATGACATGCTGATAAATGTTCTTCGTAAACCAGGAATTATGGCAACGTTTTTGTGATCGGAGAAGGAATGTTTACACTTTCGCTATTGGTTGTTGTCTGAAGTTCACGGCGCAATTATATCGGGAGATACTGTGCTAAAAGATGTTTGCAAGGCAACGTAAGATGTTTGTGTGCCCATGCAGATCTTGTGGGTTACGCAGTTGCACAATCTATGATACGCTGTCCCACCATACGTACGTTTAGTTAACATCTCAACTTTCGTTTTACTATTTATCCGTTCTGCTTATTTAGCCAATTTAGCTGCTTAGAAAACAACACAGCGCCTTTAAACCGTAAAAACTGATATTTTTTTCGAGATATTGCTTTTTAGTTGACAAAAGGCCGCAAAGTAGGTACAATACATGCGGGATATAATGATTACCTCTGGAGGATAGAGTTAAATACATCAATTAGGACACATTCCCAGTAAGGTGTCGCCTCCTTTGTAGGTCTTCGCATATCAATCCAAATACCTGAAGAAAATCAGTGCGTTTGTTCTAAGCCCATGCAACATGTTAAAATACCAAAATATAGGAAGTAAATTCGTTAGTTTGAAACTGTTGACCAGCGGCCTTTGCCCTTTGGCCATCATCCGAAAAGAGCTATTTTCAGAGAATGTTGATTAACCAGTCCATTTCGTTCAGGCATATTGCCTTCCAAAAGTGTGACAACCTCATTAAGTGAAGCACACTTTTTTTAAAAGGTTCCTCTTGTCCTTCAGCATAGAGTGCATGGACGGTGTCGTCCAAAAAATAGGTTGGAAGCTTTCATATGACACAGATGAAGAGATCGGATTCCTTCTAGTGACCTACTTAGTCTGAAGACACTCGTTCATTGCTTAGTCTCTTGTGGCGGAATCCGAATATGATAAACTGGCAAGTATTAACTTTGCAATTAATTTGTCTCATCCCTTGTCCTATCCCCCCGTCTCTGAAGTTTTGCAGAAACTCCGGTATCACTGCGAAGAGCACGGACGGACTATTTTAACCTACCAAGCATTGCTTTTTGGGGTGGCACGCGTTCACTTCGTCCAGCCACTTCCTAATATCCTATATTGATGAACCACTCTTTTCACCCAATTGGTTCACCATTTGAAGGGAAATTAGATCACTTTCCGGCTTTCAGTACTCGCAGCGCTCTGAGTATGTAATCGCTAATCTGGCTGAGGGTGACAGTGATTCCTCACATCAATATTTTGGTTTCCCTTTTCTTTTTGAGTAACCATTCACAGCTGTTTTTAAGGCGTCGTGGATGCCACAATAAATAAGCATTGAAAGCTCATAAGCAGGCTTCAACGAGTAGTGAGTAACAATTTATCAGGTATCTGCTGACCTGTTCACAGATCTTTGCAGTTGATTTGCAAATGTTTCGACAGCACTCGAGAAGTCATCTTCAACGTTTTGCCAACGCCTAGTATTTCGAGGGCAAAAATTAATTACAAGAAGAAATTGAGAAAAGCAGTCTTCCTCGGGACGGCCTTCCACGAGACAAGACCTTATCTTCTCGGTCAAGTCTGGCGGGCCCAAGGAAGTTCGAATGCACCCTCAAACACCAGATTTCCGTTACTATAAGGTTTTATTGAAGCATATGTCAAAAAGACTCATCTAGTGGACCCGCTACTAAGGTGTTTGGTACTGTCAGTGAGTTCTGAATACGACCTTCATGATTTCCTGCCAAACTCGTTTTAAAGAATAGTCATCGATATGTGCGTCCATCTTTGAAATACATCTGAGTTAACCTTAAATCCGAACCCCTTTCACCACAAACGTTAACTATACCTCTCCGATGTCCGGAGCAAAAAAGTAGAATTCGTTTGTTCGATCTTCTTTGTGCAGCACTGTAGTCGATGGCATCAGTCGAATCGCTTCAGTGTCATTAGCTTTTTTGCCAATTATCCTGATGGATACTTTTGTGTCTGGTCGAAAAGTACCACCCGTTCCGGTGAACAGCCTCATTTTGTGATAGACGGCTGAAAACAAGGGAAAAAGTTTTCAGTAGTAGAAGGCCATTTGCTGGTATTAGTTAAATCAGGACTGTTGACGCACCAAAATGGGGGTGTTATGCGTGGATCTGACTCAGTTTAAACGGGTGACTCGGTTTCCAGGAATTGATACCGTAATGACTTAAACGCCCAGTGCAACGCACTTCTACTGACCATCCTTCTATGCCCACTAGTTTAATACAGAATCACTAGCTTCGTTGTGTGAATTCTATTGGCCACACCTGGAAAAATGAGTAACTGCTACTCTGTCGTATGCGAAATCTATATTGAACATCCTTATTATTTTTCCTACAGTAGGAGTTGAGCAAACCTGTTGTTATTCTCTCCCGTAATAACTTGCTTTTGCTCTGAACCCAGCGATTTCATTATGAACAGTAAAAGGAGTTCTCGTACCAGAGGCTAAAGCACAATTATCAGTATTACGGACTACGTTGTTTTACATATAAAAATATATAAATTATGTCATATGAACGGTAAGTGTACTCAAGGGCAAATGGCATAGCGTATATCTCTCCAAACTGCTCTCGATTCGCCCAATCGGTGGTCACGTTAGATGCGTTTTACCACAATGGTGTGCAGTGAAAACACGGTCAAATTCGCCACTTCGCACATGTCGTGTGACGTTGCGAGGTAAACATTTGTCACTGTTTTCTTAGCAATTTGTTTACACCGGGTGAGTGCTTAGATAGATTTTCTCCCTTCTCTGCAAACAAAAGATCTCAACTTCGTGAAAGTCACAGCGCATCAACGACACAAGCACCAAACATGCATCAATTGTTGGAAAGAAGTCCAACAAAAATGAGAAATGGGAAGTGTCGTCGTTGCCGTTCCTGAGGTTTATATGTAAAACGGGATGCTGCTTTAACCAGCCCACCTAATAACAACCGCTTTATACAAACAAAAGAAGGAAAATTTGAAGCTGCTTCTAGTCAAAATGGCTTTTTCTCATCGTAACGTTTCTCTGCTGGTCATGGACGGCGTCTTGAGATTAAAATGTGAACTGATTTTTTGGGGTAACAATCAAGTTGACACACACAGTGGATTACGTTTCAAGGCAAGCTACGCCCATTCTTTATAACCACTGTCTTGAACTCCAATTCCAAAAGTCTGGGTACTAAACTTATTCTTAATGAGGATCATGAAGACGNTGAAGGACGGTTCACGAATTATCTAGAGGCATAAACACTATTTCTTGGGCGTATTCGAAACAAGCTGCTGTTGGATTGCTTACCGTGAGTCGGTTCACTTGAACTTCCGGTTGGACGGACAGTGGAATCACTCCAGTTCTCCGATAAAGGGGCATTCCATACAACTGGATTGAGGCCTTGAATTCACACAAATCACTTGGTTGTCGATCAACCGTGAAAAGGACGATTTCATAAGGGATACCTGACGATAGATAATATCGATCGAAATTGTGAGTACACGCAGCTAATGGGATTCCTGATGTAGTTTCGAAATAGGTATGTGTCTTTGTTCACACGTTCGTAGGAAAGCAGCCCACGATACCCGAAACGGATCACCATTTGCAAATGAAAAGAATATTAATGCTGGTTCTAATGAATAGTGATGGTTTGCTCACCGGTCAGTCTGGTTGAAAACGGTTTATTCAGAATTCGAGGTGACATTATCAGTGAGCTGTGAGTGGAAGTGGAATGCACTTCTTCTCACAAAACTGACGACATCACCTCGACTTGTGATGGAGCACTTGCAACAAAATTGCCCGGTTCGACGGACAAACCAGCGGACACACTCACCCTTTGCAACGGTTTCCGTCAGCGTAGGTGATAGTCCGATACCTGCAGCTTCAGATGTCTCTCCTGAGTAGATCCACCGATGTATGTCAAACGTGTAACACATACCGCACTGGGGTACGGTAAGAGTTATATTGTCCAGAAACCAGCTTCCAGCATGCGACGGTCCCTCATCCCACAATCGTAGGGTTTTCAGCTTGCGGGTTGACAAGAGAACAAACGGGTATCAAGCAAAAGTGTACTTTTACGAACAAGGCTTGCAAGATTACACGTTCCCTGCTCTGATAAGGTAAACACTTTTCATTGTGAACTGCATTTATGATGAATTTTTTCAGACAAAGTTACAGATGCTCTTCTACCTATCATGTTTCACTGAAAAGTGCGAAAACTCTACTTAGAAGATTTTTTAAAGTCCTTAAAACAGTTGTGCACGTAACGAACCAGCGAGCCGTTTCTAAAGTTTGACCACGTGAACATTCCACGATCTAATTAGTGAATAGTGCCTCAACAGTTATTTCTTTTATCGTGGCCATAGTCAACCAATGCCATGAAAGACTCAGTTATGCCTAAGACATGCTCCAGGAATTTGACCGGACAACTAGTACGGCAGACCTGGACGACGATCTAAATTTTCAGCGAGAGAGGGCCTTATCCTCACTATATGTACCTTCATGGGATCACCTCTGTTATCGTTTGCCATCAGCTAAAATAATCGGCAACGTGTAAAGGTCATCCGGATTGGGAAGGCCAGAGCAGCTTTTGCGAACCTACTTCACCCGTGGCGTAGGCGTGACATCAGCTTCTCTGTCAAGGGTCGA